GAACTGTTGGGTTATTGTTATTTTGCATATAATAATTTTAAAGGCACTGTCATGATTTTTGTTGAATCTGTCTTGCTATTTTGGGCCATTTGTGGTTGGTAATGTTCAGTTTTAGAAAATCCACAAATATTTAGATGATTGTGTGGATTCATTTCAGCTATTTGGAGCAAAAAGACCTGCCTGCTCAGTCTTTTTCATGTCATTGCTATTACCTCTCAGTCTCGGCCAGGCCAAATATGCAGTGAAAATGGCCTTTGTTTCTCTATTGCAATGCTTTAGCTTCCTATCCAATCCAAAGAAGTACAGACAAATAAACAAACAAAAATGGGATCAAATTTAAATGCACAACATGCTTGGAGCTTTGGGTCTGTTTTGTCTGTGCTGCACTTTTGAATGTAAAAAGAACGCTCCCTGCCCACAGGGGGGCCACAGCCAAGCAGGGAACCAAAGTGGGGACACTCTGCTTTCTGTCTCTTGCACAGATATAATAGCGTGTTTGTTCTTTCATTGTTGTTTTCTTTAGTCTAAAATAAAGATAAACTAGACAGAAAGCAGAGTGGCCAGGCGCCACTGCACAATTATAATTAATTCACTGTTAATGTTTCAGACGTTGTTACAGCATACATTGGAATTGCTGGGGCGGGGTGAGATTAGTTTGAGCTATTCATGTACATACTACAGGAGAGTCACATTAAATACACACTCTAATTAATGTTTTCAGAATGAACACCAAAGGGAATAGTATGACTTACCACTTACCGAAAAGTCGGTTTGTGCTTCTGCTTCCCAAGCTCTTGTTGTACTCTCATCTTCAAAGGTAGGGATCTGAGCACGTACTGTGCCTTCACCTCATAGTACAGATGTGTGTAGCCCATCATTCATCATCGTCAGATCTGGTTTTAGATACCAGCATCGAGTCCCAAGGCATAGCTCTGTTTGACAGTATGAGACCACTTACCCAGCCAAACTGTAATGCTGACTTTCCACTCTGGTCTTCAGAAGCTGCAAAAGTTGAAGGCTTCATTTTGTCAAGAGCAATAGGGTTCAAGAAACCAAAAGGCCGAGTCCTGCAGTGTTTCAGGCAAAACTGTAGAATGGAAAGCTGGTCTCTGCCCAGGAACTTGGAAATAGCTAGTATGTATTAAATCCAAGAGCACTTAATGTAAAGAAGAGGTCTCAGCATATATAATATTTTAACAGCTAGAGGCATGAAGTAGTTTTGTACCTCCAAAAATATTGGTATTCATCATTTTCCTGCTGCCAGTGTATCCTATTGAAAATTGTGATCAAATATGTAGTGATGTGTGCTATTTATTACACACCTTTTTAATTTTAGCTAAGTCCTCATATGTGTGTTGAGGCAGATTTTTCAGCCTGGGCCTCCAATATTGCATATTTTAGCTGTGCATCTGAGGTGCAAAACATCCCCTTTTAAGTTCAGTCAGAGGCCAGCTGAAAGTGTGCCTCTTTTGGCTAGGTTTTATCAAAGAGATACTGAGCTGCTTAGTGAGGAATAAGTGATCAATGTGTAATTGAAACTCCTTTAAGCTGAGTTTTTAGGAGAATTTATAACCTGTAAAAATATTCTCATTACAAACCCTTTTTTTGTCTTCTTTTATAATCGCCTTTAAGAAATGACCTGACCACCATCAGTAACAGAGGAAGATTTGGGTTTTAAAGCCAAGCATAGGTTCCTGCAGTTTGGCAATTTTCTGGGGGATTTTGCCATTAAATTTATTTCACACTGTATCATCATTTATGTGAGGTGACAAAATCCACGTTAAGTTTCTGGAGAAACCTGGTCTGCTATAGAACACTCTTAGAGTGCTTATTAGTACTACATTTTTCATCATGGACGTAACCTGAATATCCTAATTTATGACCATCTGGTCACCAGACAAGAACGGCCCATATGATCAAACTGCAGCTTCCCTAGATCAGCAAACATATCCATGCTGTGACTTGAAGATGACACAGAAGTATTCAGTAAAAAACCTTGAACACCTCTAGGGGACCTTTCAGAAGAGGGGCTGGGGAGGGCTAACATAACCCAACTCCTTGCACAGTGTGCCCAGCAGGGCTAGTCATTGTATCTGTTTATTCATTGGTGTTTGCTAATGGTAACTTTCATTTCATTTAGGATTTGATTTGTTTACGAACTAATAAATATGATTTATAAAAAGTGCCTGTGGTTCACTAATTACTGCACATATGGCGTTTTCATTTTGTAAAACTGGCATTTGCTTTCTATTATGATTATATCTCCGTTCACCAGTGCTAATTAGTTTGATTAGACAGATAACTTTAACCATTATTAGGACTAGATCATGGGAACTTTGAATGCAGGGAAGAAGAGTATATCACCAGTGAAGATAGGTCAGCAGCACAGAGTTTGTTCCCCATTAAACATTTTAAAATTACAATTTGTTTTTTGTTTTGCCTATATAAGAACTGAGTGAAGCATTCACATTTAGCTACTTACAAAAATCCAATTAAACGCAGTTGTTTAGCATGAATTTGTTAATCAGTGTTAATCTTTCCAATGAATGCGTAATTTGGAATCTGTGTCTACAATGTTCATTTAAGGATAAGCGTATTACAGACAAATAAAATAAAAAATAAAATGAAATTCTCTTCCTTGGAATTGACTATCAATATGGAGAAATACTGACTATTTTGTGTTGACTGTCCTGCATGCTGAGGGACGGAAGTGAAACTGGACAAAGACTAGGAAATGCCATATGCAAAACAGTGCTACCTGGGGTGGGCTGTGTTCTTTCCAGGAGTCTCTGAAAGTTGTTCAGTAGTGTAGTATGAATCTCTACAGAAAAAAGAAAGAAGGAAAGAAAGAAAAACTATTTATCATCCATTTTAGGACAGAACAGTTATCCAGGACACCAGAAATCAGGTATTATTTTATTTCTTCAAATGGTTTCTCTATCCTAAAAAAAGAGACACACTTTTTTTTTACCAATATCTTAGAAATTATGTTAGAAGACTACGAACCTAGGATGTAAAATATCAGGATTGAGGCAGTAGAGCACATAATTTGTGATCCATCAGAAATAGTCACTGAGCAGGGTCAGTTTTGATTTCATCCTTGTGCTCAGAAAGGAGAATAACTGATACCCAAATTCAGTAACTGTGGACTCTTGTTTCGTTAAGAAGGCTACACTTGGACTTTGGACCATCACCCTGCATTCATCTGGTTTCTTTGTGCTTGCTCTGTTAGGGATCAGAGCCAAAACAGTGCCGTATTCTGGATGCCTAGTCCTGTAACAGGTGAGTGGGTCCATCCTTGTGGTGCTAATGTGGCAACACCATTCAGTTAGTGGCCTTTTTTATTTTTCATCTTTTTCCATTTTCAAAGCAATTTATGAGGAAAGAGAAACGTTCTTTCCCATCTAAAAAGAATTGTTGGAACACTGAGAACGACATAAAACTGCTGGTGAAAGGTGAGCGCGGAAAGAAGCAGTAAACTAGCATGTTGCAGTGTGTACTCTCCCCTTGGCTCTCCTGGAGGATACCGCTGCCATGCCTTCTGCAGAAAACCCTAGACAATTTAAATGTCAAAGTCTCAAATTTTAACATGCATCATTATTGTTGGAAACGTTATGCTCCAGGAAAAGTTTCAAAATTGCCATTTGTGTATCTTAGAAGACTGCGAACAGGATGGCTGGATTCTGAGGTGGTATAAATTGGCAGAGGTTCCTGCCTTCAGCACAGTCACCCTGTTTTACACCAACTGAAAATCTAGTTGTGGAGAAAGAATATTTATGCCATGCTAGGGAGGTTTGAAAACCCTTTTTTTTTTCAAATGAGAATGAATAAAGAAAGGTCTGGGATGTGCTCTGTGCTGATGAACCCAAAGCCAAATATGACCTCCCCTTGACCTTTATGCATTTAAGTTGAAAAAGGCCATTCTGATACATTCCACTGGAGCTTAAAATGCCTATATTTCAATTCCAAAGGTCAAGCTCTTTTCTCAGTATACTGTATGACCTAGCCTTTGTCTATTGCCCATTGATGTTGCCTGCCTATGCTTCTTATAACCCATTGACTGTTTACTGTTTTTCTGGCTAATGTAAGTGAAAGAGATAATTGAAATGATTTTGAGCTATGTGTCAGTTCTGATTCTGATTATGTCTCCTGTGCTTAGTGCAGCTTTAGTGGCTCCAAACTCGTTAAGTCTCCAGGAAGTTTTAGATTACTGTGTTAACTATATCTTAATTAATGTATTTATCTTAAATTCTGCTCAAGCCTTTTTGAAGTTTTCTTTTATCATTATGTCTATCTCTAATATCATTAAATTAAATCACTTTTCCTTCAACCCTTCTGTTTTCTTTTATCTTTGAGGGGTTTTTTTATACTTTTTTTCTGAGAGGCCCAAAGTCAAAGGGAATTATTTCCAAGAAAGCTTCATGCATATTTAAAAGCAAATCACCACATCTTCAGTGGTATAAACACAGCCCCACTGGAGACAAGTGACAGGAACTGGTACTTTATTTCCAAATCTACCTGAAAGTTTGTAGCAGTGGAGCGATGCTGATTTATAGCATTGATAGTCTGATCCAAAATAAAAAGATGATCAAGTTGCCTTTGCTGCTAGTGGGGACAACAGCTTGTGTAAATAGGTGATGTTCTATGAAAACTAGTGTAGCTGCAATCACATGCACTAGCAGCGGGCTTGGACCTGTATCTTTAGGACTCTTCTCTATCTATGTCAGTTACTTGTTCAGCTAAGAGATAAGAACTTATTCACCTTACATTTGTAACTATTGAGTAAGATGGAAAGGACTATTTGTATTGACAGAGAGAGTAAATATTGCTGGAATCAATTACATGTTCAGCTCTTGATGTCTCCGTCACTATGCTTTCTCCTGAAGGGTATTCCTGTCAGTTACTCACCCTCTGCCCAGCCTCTGGAGCTCAAGCAGTTCTTGATGATAGCCAGCAACAGGAACTGACCCTCTCAGCACTTTCCATCTATTTTATTTCAGGTACTTCACAGATAGCTTGGACTTGCTGGCGCTGTGACTCAACCTTCAGCTTTCCGGAAGCTGATAGAAGACAATGTAAGTGCCGATTATCTCTTTTCTTTGTAATGCTGCCATGAATTTTACCTGGTATAATGGTAGAAACATCACCATAAACACCACTCAGAGCTTGGTGGGAAAGGGGTTCTCTCTTTCTCTTACCATCATTGCTCTCAGTGCAGAGATCTGGTATGGAAATCGGGTTAAACAATGTGCAAATTTACTCCCCTCCCCCTCCACAGTTCATTGTGGGAGGAAGAGAGTTTGTAAAGGAGTTGATGGCATGAGTCAGGGAAGCAGTCCCCTGCGTGAAGCAAGCGACTTTCTCTAACTTTGTCTTGGGCTGGTCTGAAGGAAGCTACTATCTGTTTTAGTCATTGTTTAACTGAGGGAAGTTGTTTAACTTTTATGGTATTTTTTCCTTAAAAAGGCAAAATAGTCCTTGGATTTGCCTGTTACTATTTTATAGCAGCAGCCATAGTGTGGGACATGCATCCCAGTCAGAAGGAGGGACATTTATGAAAGGTATTATGTCATGTGAAGCCTGCGATACCAGGACCAAACTCAGAGATCCAAGGCTGGTCTTGAATGTCTAAGTCCAGCTCCACGCCTACAATTTTGCAAAATCACAGACAATTGACAACAGTAAAGCAACATGGAGAAAATAATAAAATACTTTATGAATAGAATTAATTTGTCTGTAGGCAGCATGGTGAAAGTGGGGCAAACACATGTGCAGATAAGGGTAAAAACACAGATAGGAAGATTGTGACACCTCACTGTGAGGATGCGGAGGCCGCCTTTGCCCTGAGCAACCTGTTACGGGAAAGTAGATGATATTTTGGAGTTAGCAAGTTTTTTTCTTGTCTGTTTTACTTTTATTCTGCAAATTGTTTTTCCTCTCCTACTTTGAAGTTATTTGCCAGGCAGTTCTCATTTCACCCTTCACACATTGTGTTATGCGCACTGACTCACGGGCTTATGCTTTTAAAAAGGTTGTCAATCACAGCTATCCTCATGCAGCCATCATACGATTAGCTCTGTTCTTTACTGTAATATATGAATTTAACCAAAGTTTGGACACAGTGAAAAAAGAATCATCAGTGGATGGACGTGCCAGCTTAAAAGCAGAGATACTGTGTTGTAACTTCTAGGCCTTGTCCAGGGCTAGGTCGCAGGGTGTCTAGGGAGGCAAGGAAGAAGAAGTGAAGGCAGAAGCCATGAAATGGCTGATCCAGTGCAGAGGAACTGGTGACTTGGAGCTGGCCTGGTGGCTCCTGTGTTAATGCTCACTGACAGAAGCTGTCAGTATTGTGGGGGATGTGGCTGCGAGGAAAGCGGAGATGAACAATTTCCTTCCTTTGGCGTTGCAGGAAAGGAGGGAAAAGAAAAGCAACATCACATGCGAGAGATGCTCAGGCACTGAAAACCAAGGCCCTAGGGAGGCTGCCTCAAAGCCCGGCCCCGCTGCTCCCAGGCTCGTGCTGTCTGCTTGGAGGTTTCCTCTGCAGGCTTGCCCTGACCTCTGCTCTTGAGGGTAAATAAGGCTCCTGATTTGTGGGTGTCTTCAAGGGCTTCTCTCAAACGGTGTCGTGCACAGCCCCCTGCTGGGGAGCACTGCCCAAGCACACACCTGACTGCCTGGGTCCCTGGGTGAGCTTGGCTGCCACCTGCGACTCCTGATGCGTCTCAGTGCTGCCTTTTTCTTCCACTGTCTCTCCTGTACCTGAAATTTGACTGGTAATCGACCAATATGAGCTGAAAAAGTGGTGTCAGCCAGAGCTGTGAATTGACCTGCTTTTGTCAGTTTGTCACAGCTTTATTGCTGCTTTAGCACAACGTGTGCAAGTTCAAGCCCAGCACTTCTGATAGTCCAGAGAAAAGCCTGGCAGGCCGATGTCCTGACAGATGCTTTCCAAAGGCAGAGAGGCCAGACATGCCCTTTCTCCTGGGCACCTAGTCCAAACTTCAGATTTTTCATTCTAGCCAGAGGAACAACCCAAAGCCAAAGCAACCTGCAGCTATTTCCCCTTAGTATTTCTCTACATCTCCAAGAGTATCTAGAATTCATTTGCAGTGTTGCTCAATAAAGTTTCCTGTAAACGAGATCAAAATGGTGTCCTTTTCTAAAGGTGACCATATTAGGCTCGTCTCTTTGTACATGTTGAGTTTATTATAGAAAGAATAAGGCTGGATTCTTTAAATCAAAACATTTTGAATGTAAGATACAAAGAATAAGAGAGAATTCCAATGCCTTTTATGAAAGACTCATCTTAAAAGCTGATTTAGCCTTCTGCACAGCAGCAAATAATCATATACTTCACCCAAAAGCTAGCTGAATGTGTGTTTATACCTTCTTATTTATACTGAGATTTCAAAATAAGCTTTTTGAATGAGCTGTGATATTTTATTTGGTTTCCTTAAGCTAAGAGTATTGCAATGTCAGACTCTGTTTTCTTAATTGATTATAACTTTGCCATCCTTATATTGCAAAGCTTATGATGAATGTGTAATATGTTGCCCAGCGCCTTTGCAACTTGCCCCAAAATTTGGCTTAGAGTACCTTTTTCATATCTCTGTTTCACACACAAATACTCTCACTGTTGCTTATGATAAATGAGAAATTTCCAGCAGCTCAGGACGCTTGAAAAAATTCCTGAACCAGTCAGCATGTCTGAGTGACCCTACAAATAGCAGACATCTGAATGCAGCTCAGTGTGCATAAGCAACCCTACAATAATAAGCTAAGTGTGTGCAGTCCAGCAGGTGGGAACAATCCTATCATTAAATTATTAAATAAGCCATTGACAGGGATGGAAGTAACAGCTTTGAGTAACTTCAGAGTTTTCTTAGTTTTACACGTGCAAATGCTGGTTTTTTATTGAGTGGATACCATTCCCTAGATTTGCAGACCTGTGTATTTTTCAGCAACAGCATCCAGTCTGTTGCTAAACTTGTTTTTCTGGATCCTCTCCCTTTCTCTCTAGCTCCGCTCCTAACTCTTAGCCCTGCCCAAGTCATCCTGGAGCTCACCTCCAGAAAGCAGCTGAGGCTTCATGAGGGGTCCTTTGGTTCAGTGTCAATGGCCAGACCACAAGTCAGGCCTTGGCTCAGGACATCTGGAAAGTGCACCTACCTGTCAAGATCTCAGATAGGATCTTTTTGTTCAGAGATCATGAAATCTGTTCATAAGGAATAGCCTCAACCCCTGAGTATCCTGCACAATCACTAGACTTATCTGCTTTACTCTTGAAAGGAGATAAAGTAAAGCTCAGGCTATGAGAGACTCTCCAAATGATGAAAATATTATTATTATTTCAAAATGTTATCCCCATATGTTCAGGAAATAGAAAGATGATCAGATTATGTAATCAACTTTGCAGAAACACCTGCTTGAGTAGGTAGAGCAAGGTGGAAGCAAAGGGAAAAAAAAAGCATTTAGGTTCAAAAAATATGTGACACTAATTTTCTGGAAAGCCTGACAAAAGAAATACAAACTTCTGAAGGGAAGAGGTTTGATAGGGTATTGCAATGCAGTATATCATTAGAATTATGGATAGACACCTAGTGGTGGTTAATGCTGATTGCATTTGTTTGAGGAAGTTGCAGAAAAGCTATTCCTTCCAGACAAAAGGCCAGATCTGTAGCTGAGGTAAATATGCACAACTTCATCACCCATCCTGATTTACACCCGCTCGTGATCTGGTTATAGTATACACTATGTTATGCAGACTTTTTCAGGAAGAAGGGCAGAGAGTAATTTAAAGCAAGCCTGGGAACGTGATGAGAAAATATTGCAGTTTAAATTGTTTATATCCCCCAAACTTGGCCCTCAGTTATTCCCCTTCATTATTTCCTTCATGTTCACTGCACTGTCATCTGTCCTCTACCATTTGAATTCCTTAAACAATCTTTAAGCAGAGATTTAATTGTGCAACAGCTCATTTCCCCAAGTATTACGTTTGGCTAGAGGGCTGCTGTCACTGGGGGTATCACATTCCTGAGATTTTGTGCCTCTGACCACCTTTCCTGAAGGACTTCTCCAGCCTATTTGCAGAGCTACAGTCTCTTGAGAAAATCAGTAAAATGGTTGCTGAGAATTAATATAAAATACTTAGTATCTCTGTAAGCCTCATCTGAATGAATGCGCCAGTCTGGGCCATAAAGGAGCCTGAACAATAATTGCATGCAATGTGGCAATTGCCTTTTAGATTGTCCTCTGCTCATATCAAATCTTTAATTTCAGCTGTGGTGAAAATTCTCTACAAATCTCTAGATTTCGCTCCCTCCATCCCCTCTTGCACCAAATTGAGGATTTTAAGCTCCCCCTTCCTTGCACTTCTCCCTCTGTCTTTGTGTGTTTGTCTGTCTCTCTCTCTCACTCTAAAAATAAAAGGTAGGACCCACCTTGTCAAATGCAGTAAATAAGAAAATACTCAGATATGTTAAAACCCTGGAGCTACCCCTTGGCAGCTGAAATGACTAAAACGAAATTTAAAGTACATCTGATTTACCTGTTGTTTGTGTGACTCAAATACCTATGTTTAATTTTGTCTATGGATTGGAAAAAGTTAATTTCAAGCCTTGTTTCTCTTGCTAGCAGCAACAACCTTTTAAACTGAGTATTACTGGTGAACCATACAGAGCTGGTTAAAAAAATGCTTTTCAGTTCCACCATGCAGTTGTTCGGACGACAATTATGGCAGCTGAAGTTTAATCATAGTGTTTGATAGCTCATTTTCTCAATGTCAACATGAGGCACTGTTAAAAAAAATGAATTCTTTCATTTGATAAGCTGGCTCCAGAGCGCTGGGCTCATTCAATAGGAAAACTCTTTCACGGGGCTGCAGCATGCATGATTTTTCTCTTTCCTTTTTTTTTTTCCTTTTCTTCTCTCCCTCTCTTTTTTTTTTTTCCCCCTGAAAGCCACCCAAGAAGAGATTAATCACGAGGGGGAAACTCAGCTTCACCCTCTAGCTGCAGGTCGCAATTTTTATTTGTATGGAATTGGCTTTTGGAAAGCTGA